TGAGTTATTTTCTAACTTGGACTCTGATAAGGATTAAATTGCTGTCATATTTTCAAATCTTCATATCTCAATCTTTACTCTTCAATTCTAATCATTTGTGATTCTTCCTCTAGTGATTGATTCACTTGCCTTATCCATTATTACTTTAAATCAACCAATTTACTCGCAAAATAAACCAAACAACTAGAAAAAGTATCAAACTAGAAAATTAAAGAATTTAACACATTTAATCACAAATAATATGCAATTAACCAGTCATTAAATATAATAAAATAACAATTTTGATGGTTAATCAAGCACTCTCCATTTTGGTCTTTTATTTCGCCCCTCTGCCACTTCTGGTGCCCTGGTTACTTATTCTGATGTTGATTGGGTTGGTCGCCGCTCTACTTCTGGTTACTCTATTTATCTTGGTGAAAATTTGGTCTCTTGGAGTGCTAAAAAGCAACCCAGCGTGTCTCGTTCCAGTTGTGAATCTGAGTATCATGGTCTTGCAAACACTGCTGTGGAACTTCTTTGGCTTACACATTTCTTTCATGACCTCCGGGTTCCCATTCCCCAGAAGCCACTTCTCTTATGTGATAACAAAAGTGCAATTTTTTTGAGCTCCAATCTAGTTTCTCACAAGTGGGCCAAAACACGTGGAGAAAACTTCGCACACAATATGTGCCATCTCATCTACAAGTTGCTAACATCTTCACCAAAAGTCTTCCTCAACCTCTTATTGAATTTTTTCGGTCCAAGCTTCACGTTCGTTCAAATTCGACGCTCAACTTGCGCGGGGGGGGGGGGGGGTGTTAAGGATATGGTTGAGTATCTCTTGCCTAAACCAAAGGCTTGCCAAACATGACTCATTGACCCTTGATTCTAGGAACATCTACCCTTGATTCTAGGCCTATATGTATATATTTTCCTCTAATTATTTTGTAATTGATTTGTGAATATTCTGTCATTAATTTGTAACAATCTCAAGAGATTATAAATAAACGTACCTCACCACCGATTGATATGTGGTGGTTCCATAAAACTTCTCACATGTTAGGTTTGAGTTTTGAGATTTTCGATACAAACTCGAAATCAACCTAACACAAAATGATCCAACCCAACACGTTTGACACCCCTACTACTAGGGGATCTCAATTAAGTTGTCATGTCATTTTTAGGTTGTGTCATTTTTAAGTCTTTTTTTTTTTTCGTGTCGTGTTCCAGTTTTGTTTTTATAACCCATTTAGTCGAAAGTCGAAAGTTCAGGATCCTTTTTCTCTCATCCAAATCTATTACACAATAGGTCACCATAAATTAAAAACCTATTTGGTCTTTAATTTAGTAAAACCAAATCATAAAAAATTGAGACTTTTTTTTATTGCAATACTAGTTAATGAGTTTATCATCTCAAAATTGAGTTTTTCATGTTCGACACTAATCCAATTTATGTATGGTTTGTGTTAATTGATTGCATCATTTTTTAGTTTGTGTCATGATGGGTTCTCGTTTGTTAATATTTTAGTACCCAAAATTGACACCGCTACATACTACTTCCTTGAAGACACACAGAGATATCAAGCCCCTTCAATTCAGGAAACTATTGATACCGACATATATCATAAAGTTTCCTGTTTGTTGTGGGAAAAAAATTTAAATGTCCAAGAAGGATACTGAAAACCCATCTAATCCTAAGATAACTATAAGCCAGAGCAATTTTACTAGGAAAACTCTTTCCTTCAGTGATTAGGATAAACTAAGAGTCTTATAAAAAGGGTCATACCTTGATTTTCCAGACAGAAAACTTCAACTGCTAGATTCAAATTGTTCTTAGATTCGAGTTTGTGGATTTAAAGTTATTAGTCTATATTTTTCTCAAATTTTTGTAAGTAATCTACGATTTAAGGGTTTGTTCACGAAATCGTGTGATGATCGAGGACGAGGGAGACCACCGAAGAACCCTAAAAACATTGATTTTCATTCCCCAATTGATCTGTGTTTCACTGCCAACATTCAAGAAACAATGAATGTAGTATTCCTCCGTCCTCATTGAGTAATTATTCGACTTGTCTGTCTGAAGTAGAGATTTCAGGACCTGTTCCTGGTCTTGATTCTATATTCTCGGATGAAAGTTTTTTTTAAAATTTTTGGGGCGATATCCGATTTTGACGAATAATGTGGATTAATTTCAAGATGTATTTTTCGTCAGATGTAATACGACTCAACTCAACTTAACAAAGTCTTGTCTCAATGTTTTTGATATCAATTTTTCATCTGAATCAATAACTTTTTTTTTTTTTGTTAGACTTTATTCCAGAAAAGGGGACAACGAAGTTTGAATTGCAGGTCTAATAGGGAGGACGGTGGCCGTTAAGCCAACCATTAATTTTAAGTGAACCAATATTTACTGATCAAAAAAAAACTATTTTTTTTTATTTGCAACTCAGAGTTCACAGTCGAAGAAACAATTAAAGACAAAAAAAAGAAGAAGAAGTCAGTTTTAACATTAGAAATCCTTTGATCTAAATGTTCTTTTCTTTTGAAATAATTCAGGATCAATATTCCCACAGCAGCAAAAGAACCATTTCGTATTTAAAAAATTGGCATCTAAATTGATAATATCGTGACAAAGTTAATTCATAAAATTAGACATGATACATCATACTTTAAAAAAATAAAATAAAATTAGACAATAACTATCCAGGGATGGAGTTAGGAATTCTTCACGGTGGAGGCAACCATTAGGAACGATGAGACGACCATCATCAATACTCGATACGCCTTAAATCATTAGTATGCTTGCCAACAATAAGATTTGGGATAGAATTTGAATTGATCTGAATCCAATTTAAAAACTTAGTCCGTATTCAATCTAATTATTCAACAAACTTAATTTTTTCAGCTCATATCGAATCTTTTTAAAGAAAAAATCAATCTTATCCCAATAATTAAACTAGAGGAGAATTTTAATAAATTATATTTTATTTTTAACACAATATCATTAAATAATCACTCAATTTTAATTAGTATATATATATAGGTGTGTGTGTATGCTATGATATGTGTTTATGGTAGTGTCATGCTGATTTTAAAATAAAGGGAGAATTGTTTGGATCAATTTCTATATTTTTATCAGCATCAAATTGGCTCTAGGAATTTGAAAGCCGACCGTTAAAGCAAGGGAAATGCGTGGAGAAAGCGTGGAGAAAGTCTGAGTAACCGTTAATAGGAAGATGCCTATAAAAAAGACATTGATTACCATGACAACATATTATCAAACCCATCAAAGTCTGACTTGGACATTTTAGGAATAGTTTTCGACGAGATTTAGAGTTAGGAGTAGTTTAAGATGTTGTTTCGTCACTCTATTATAACTTATACACTTTCAAGATTAATGAAAGTGTCTTTCTTTTTGTTCATTATTTTACCGTTGTACTATTTATTTTAAAGTTATTGATTGTGATCAAGAAGTAGTCTGAAATCTCTTTGCAAGGAGAATAAGTTTACCAATTATAAGAGAAATTTTTTGTGCGATGAAAAAGCCTAAAATACAATTTCAAAGGGGTAACGAAAATAAACATCTACGACACCTAACAGGGTATTCTTTGAAATCTTGAAGAATTAAAATAACTCAAATGAGTTGTCATTATTCATTTTAAGTTCAAATCGTGATTTTCGATTAAATAAAATTTACATTAAAAATTCGTGGGACTAATATGATAAAATTAAAGAAACAAAAAGTTATTTGATGTGATGTGCATACCAAATGATCATTAGTTTATTGGGAAAATTACACTTAAGTTTTTTAAAGTTTGATAATTAAGTAGTTGGACTCTTTAATATTTAAAATATTACACACAATTCCTTTAAACTGTCAATGTCGGTTTGAATATCTATTAATAAATTATATCTAGATCCGTTAAAGTTTATAACGCTCAAGACTTAGACTTCTTAAGTTTAAAATATTATATTTAAACTCTTTAATAGTTATAAAATTTATACAATAAATTAAATAACTAAATTACTCCCAATTAAAAATAAAAGATATTGTATCAATTACAGTTTAATCCCTTATTTATTTTTTTAATTTTATGCTAATAGACAATATAATTGTATGTTAATGAATGTTGAATTGAGTTTTTTAGTATATTTATTTTGATTATTATTTTTTTCTCAAAAAATTGAGATATTGCTTAGATTTTATGTCTATGGCTGATATACTAGAACATACAAATGTGTTGATTAGACTTATTTCATATGTTCGTACTTGATGAAAAAATTGACCCAAAGTATGTCACTCCTAATTTCTAATTGTAGTTTATACCTTCGAATCACTTATTGACTTAGACATCGGAGAGTCAACCTCCGGAACTCCCTTCCTATCTTTGATTTCTTTTTCAGGTGACCAAAGTCCAACAAAATGACGTGAAGGTCATTTAAATGTTGACATAAATAGTACTAATTATATTTTAGAAAAAATTAAATTTTTATTTTTAAGTTTATTTCAATAAATAACATAATAAAACATGAATTTTGGTCGTAAAATTTATAAATATTTGATATTTTATTTTTAATTGTATTATATTTGGTTTAAGTGTAATATTTTAAATTTAAGGATTATAAGTATTACATGCTTCAAATTTTAGGAGTTTGAATATAATTCACTTATAAATATATTAATAGAGATTAGAAACAAAGTCTATGTATTACTCGTGTACAAATTTTAAGAGATTTGTTAATAATATTTTAAATATGAGAGGTCTAAGTGATTAAAGAGCAAACCATAAGAGGTTTTGATGCGATTTTCCATAATTTATTTTGTCAAAAATTTTCCCTAATCTTCATCTTGTCTTACGCTGACCTTTTTGGCCATACCATTTGCCATTTTCTAGCAGTCTAAGTTTAAATCGTCGAAAAGATTCTTTTCTCATCACGTGCTTCTCCATAACGAATCATTTTACCAAGCTAAAAGCTGGCAATGACAAACTACACACACACACACACACACACTCACAGTAATGGAGTCAACACCACTCCATCACCTCCTTCCCAAGCTCCTCCTTTCTCTCTCCGTCCTCCACCACTTCTCACCCACATCATCACTACTCGCTTCCATCCCCAAGGAAGCTCTTCCAACCAAATCTGGTTACCTAACTGTCAATTCCTCCTCTGGTTCTGCCATTTTTTACACTTTCTATGAAGCCCAAAAGCCTATTTCATCTCTTGACCAAACCCCAATTCTAATTTGGCTCCAGGGTGGCCCTGGTTGCTCCTCCATGATTGGCAACTTCTACGAGCTTGGCCCCTGGCGCGTAGCTTCTCACAAGCAAAACGACGAACAAATTTCACTTGAACCCAATCCGGGTCCTTGGAATCGCATATTTGGGCTTCTTTTTCTTGACAATCCTATTGGAGTTGGATTTAGTATCGCCTCAACACCTGAGGAAATTCCCAGAACTCAACATGTTGTTGCCAAGCATCTTTTTATCGCGATTAGAAAATTTACTGCCTTGGACCCATCATTCAAATCGCGTCCAATTTATGTTACTGGGGAGAGTTATGCTGGAAAATATGTTCCAGCATTTGGGTATTACATCCTGAAAAAAAATGCCCAACTGCCGTTATCGCGTCAAGTGAACTTGGCTGGTGTTGCCATTGGGAATGGTTTGACTGACCCAGAGACACAAGTGGCTACACATGCCGTCAATGGTTACTATTTAGGATTGATCAATGAAAAGCAAAAGACCCACTTGGAGGAGCTTCAAGTGGAGGCCGTGGGCTTGATCAAAAGTGGCAATTGGAGTGAGGCCACAAATGCAAGGAGTAGGGTGTTGGATGCATTGCAGAACATGACAGGACTAGCCACTTTGTATGACTTCAGAAGGTTAATTCCTTACCAAGATAGTTTAGTGGGCAAATTTTTGAGTAATGTCGAAGTGAAGAAGGAACTAGGAGCGAATGAATCAATAGTTTTTGAGGTATGCAGTGATGCTGTTGGGGCAGTATTGCTTGAAGATGTGATGAAGAGTGTGAAATATATGGTGGAGTATTTGGTGAAGAAGAGTAAGGTTTTGTTGTACCAAGGGCAGTGTGATTTGAGGGATGGTGTAGTGTCAACTGAGGCTTGGGTGAAGAAAATGAAGTGGGAGGGCATTTCCAATTTTTTGGAGGCAGAGAAGAAGGTTTGGAGGGAGAATGAGATGCTAGCTGGATATGTGCAGAAATGGAAGAGTTTGAGCCATGCTGTGGTGTTGGGTGCTGGACATCTTGTGCCCACTGATCAAGCAGTGAATTCTCAGGCAATGATAGAAGACTGGGTTTTGGAGAGGGGATTGTTTGCCGATGAGCAGATTGAGGATGTATCCACAAATTTCAGGGGTGCACTTTGAAGTTTCAAAATTGTTATTGTTTTTTCTGTTGTTGTGAGAGTTATTAGTGATTCAGATCATGAAATGCTACAAGGAATGTGGAAATTATGAAATTCCATCCATGTTGAAATAAAAATCCTGCAAAAAAATTTAGAAGTTATGAACTTCGATCCCTGTTCAAGAAATAAAAAACCAAAGATTTTAATTGTTGAATATTGAAATGCTAGAAATCCACTTGATGATTTGCGTTATCTTTTTCATTTGTTTCTTTGAGATTGAATTTGAGTAATAATATTGCCACTGCATGTCATGCCGCAGAAGAAACCACTGTTCCTCTATGGAAGCCATCCAAAAACCAGGAATGTTACCAAAACACAATACGGACGCCCAGTCCAAAGTACCCCATTGTAAGGAATACCAGTGCTCCTTGAATGCGTCACTGACATCAACCAATCCTTTCTTGCAGGTGCTTTTCCTTGGATATGACCACTGTTCCTACATTTGCATAGCCTAATACAGTTAAAGGTCTTGGAGAAATGATCGGATAGTGGAGAGAACCATTGAGGATATCTGTTGGAGTTTCCTGTTGCTAGGCCAGTGATAGATGGGAATATTTTACAAGAAGCACATCTTGCTGCTATGATAAGTAGTATCCCTCTAAAAACCTTCTTATCTAAATAGTGATGAATTATTAGTTCTGCTACAAAAATCATTTCTAACTCTCAGTCAGATTTATGTACATTGTTGTTAGTGTGGATATGTTTCAGCATATTGTATTATGAATTGTGATTGTTCATCCAAGGTTGTCAGTTTCTGCCACCTTCCAGTTTATTTTCAGAAGCACATACAAGCATATTACATAATTTTGCAAATGCTTACACTTCTATTGACTTCATTTTGCTTTCCAGACTTAACTGAGTAATACCCGTATATGCTGACAATTAAACGCATTTAATTTTCCATGAAGTAAAATTCGGGGTTAGTATTTCAATAGCTACAACAATCAGGCACACCTTTCCTCAAAGTTCAGCTGAAGCATTTGAAACACAAGGTAAAGAAATGTATGTAACAAGGGGCAACAAACATAAAAGTTCTCGTTGAAACTTCTAGATATTGATAGTGGATGGCGATTGACAATTTTAATTTAAGATGCTGACTATATGACTATATGAGAATCATGCATATGCGTATACTATATATATATATATATATTCTGTTACAACATGTTTGAATGGCTTTTTAAAGCCGATGAGTATATCTACTAATTTGGCATGGAGGTTAGTAACAGGGATGCTATAGTGCATTCAGCTCTTAATCAAATTTGAATGTCCTTTAGGCCTTTTTGGAGCAAACAACGAAAATGAAATTGCCTATATTTTCTTTCCTTTTTACCTCTTTTTCGAGTTCCATACACTGCCACAGAATGTGGAAGGATCCTTCTTTGATGTCATATGCAACACAATCCACTTACTTCTTCTGGATGAAGGACGTAGTTGTAGTCGTTCTAGCATCATTTAGGTAGTCTACAAATAGCTTCTGAAGTGGGTTCTTTGTGGACAGAATGGTTGGGGCTCGATGATGGTGTTCGAAGTGGATTGTCAAGTTGTAGGTGGGAGCCCAGTGCCTCATTTTTTTGTGCCAAAGCAGATTCTGGAGATCTCCACCGAAAGTGGAAGCTCACCGTTGTTTATCTTGCTTTTACCGACACATTATTTTGGGGCTAAGCAAACTTTGCTCAAGCAGTCTTGGAGTTAGTTGGGTCCATATAGAGATGTCTAAGTTAGTAAACTTATTGGTGAATATGTGAATCTTCTTTCCTCCTAGTTTCTTTTGATTCACCTGGATTAAAAACAAGCTAATCTTATCATTGCTAAACCAGTACTTTGTAAGGCTAAGCAGTCCTTTTAAATTGAAGTGTACCTCCCCAGTGATTGGGGGCATGTTGTGTAGAAACACTTAGTGAGGTTTTGGCGATTCTTTGAACCTTTAGATCTGTTGCTTTAGAAGATATATATTAGGCAATGAGGCAACTGCACAGTTTAGATGATGAAACCCAAGGTTATGTGTTGGAGGCAATTTCACACCTTGGAATGTTTAGTGCCAGATGGGTTTTTAGTCACTTGTTCGATGGCGAGTGTCAATCTAGAATCTTTCGTCCCCTGGCAGCTAGATATTTCTCCAGATAGCGTTTTAGTACTAAAACTTAAGTCAGGAAGCTACCTTTTCAGGGTAAGCTTTAAACTCCAGATCTTATTGCATCCTCTATAGGTATGGGTTCTGTTCTTCTCCCCTGTAGCCACTTGCACTTTGAGCACTGCTCTTACTGTTAGCAAGCTGATCGTATCTCCAAATTGCACCGAGTAAGTTGGAGCTTCTTGTTATTATAAATCCATAAATATGCATCGACAATTTTCCGTTAGTAAGGTACAAGTATTGTCATGATTCATTGTGTGTTGCTAAGAATACACAATAGACCATCATAGACATGTAGGAGATGTGGCTGTTTTAGTTTAAACCGGTGCTTTTCTACCATGCTTGGGATTTTTACTACCTGTGGAAGTGTGGAACACCCACTTAAGCCACAGCTTACTTTACAAATATGCTTCAGTTTGCGCATTAGAGTTTTGGGCAAAATTTGCATTCCATAGAAAGGCATCGTGGTTTCCATTCCATTCTTTGCTTTTGATTTTTTGACAACATTGTTTCTTTGCATAAAAAAAATTAGTTTCAAGACAGTGTTGCCAAACGCTACATAAATTGTTGAGATTTAACACGCCTTAAACCCACAGACAAACACACACAATCGAATAACGAATTAAGAACATAAAACAATAAGAAACAAGAAAGAACAAGATACAAAGATTTTATGTGGTTCGGCTATTTGTCTACGTTCGCGAAGTTTCAAGGATTTCACTATTGAGAGAGAGGATTACAGAGAGCAGCTATACACTTCAATCAAACCCTAAACACCAAAGTAGCGGTTTTTATATGTTCTGTGTATTGGGCTACAAAACAGGCCCAAAATTTTCCAAACTTCGGAAAATTTTTCATTAAAAATCACGCAATATTATTTCGGGTCGAGTCATTATCCAGATCAGCACACAAATTAAACTACACAAAGGCCCAACATAAATTATGGTTATTAAGTACAAAAACCCTCATTTCCTTGTTCAAGATGATATCTTTTGTCGAACCAGATTGGTCAGGCTGCAAAGATGGTAATGTCCGTACATCCTGTGGTTCTTCACAACGCCTGTGGATGTGAATACAGCTCAGAATGGCCTGTGCAACTGAAGTGTGCAAGTCCTCCATGAAGTTGGTACAGGTACTTAAAGACTTATAACACCAACTCTCTTGTATTTGTTTGCCAGAATATGAACTGAAAAGCTATGTAAATTGCAACTCATGTAAAAGCAATCAACGTCATTGAAGTGCATTTCTTTCTTTTTTGTTGTTCTGGAGAGCATTCAAACCTATGACCTAGCATGGGAAGTGAGAGTGAGCCTTTGGAGATCACCCAGGTGCGGTTCATAGCAGTTCAGAGTGTATTTAGACACCTGATATGTCGGAAATATTTGTGGCAAATTTGGATATCTATTGGGGAATACAAAACTGTTGAACAGGCAGGTGGGATTGGGGTAGTAATCAGAGATTGGAATAGTACATTTGTTACTGGAATGAGTCATATTGTTAAAAGTGCTCTCTTTAGCAGCACATGTGGAAGCATTTGTGGTTCGCAGAACTACCAAATTAGCTATGGAAATGATGTGCTATGAAATTGTACCGGAAATTGACTCGAAATAACTCATTGATCCAATGAAGGAGAAGCAAGAAACATCTCTCAGATATTGGGCTCATATGAAGGGAGTAGAGGGAGTGGTCTAGTGGTAAGGAACCCCCCCCCCCTGCCCCCCCCCCGGTTCTGGGAAAAAAAAACCCTTATAAATCCGTGGTTCTGAAAATGATGTGTTATTTGTTAATTGTTTCGCTAAATATGCTATTAATTGTTATGACCATCTATATGGAGGGAGGAGGCTCATTCATTTTCCCTTCGATTTGATATTTGATTTAGCGATTAATCAGTTCTTTATGCTTCTTCAATCTACAGACAAGGTGCTATGTTTCAAGTTGCTTGAGCTCTTTTGGCTGCTCTATGTAAATATGCTCCTCCAAATCACCATGATTGAGAATTGTTTTTACGTCTGGTTACTCCAATCTAAAATTCAAATTGGCCACTAATGCCAACACCTTTTGGGAATCACGCACGGATTGATTGTTTGTCAAAAATTGCGTACGAACAATTAGTTCTTACATTTTTGGCAATTGATACATCTATTCGTGTTTTCAACCCAAAAAATTGACACCACCTGTATTTTTGCAACATCTTCGATAACTTCTGTGCTTGTCATGGAACTTGAATCATATAAAAAAAGAACCTTTAATATTTAATTAGATATCTTCTAATACATTTTTAGAATTTTTTTAATTATTTATTACCTGTTATGAATTTAAGTTGAAAACATCATTAATGCTTTGTTTAATATGATAAAAAAAAAAGGAAGGATAGAAAATTGGAAGGATGAAAAATTTGAAGGATCAAAAGTTAGAGGGATAAATAAAACATCATGTTTGGTAAAAAAAGAATATAGGAAGGACGAAAAAATGGATAGATTAACTTTTCTTCCAACTCACTAAAATCAATCCCTCCAAAATCGGAAGGAAAGTAAATTATTTGTGTTGAGATATATTTTATTTGTCTATATATCTTTTTATATATACATATATTATGTATACATTAATTTCATGTAAAAATACAATGATAAAATATATATTTATATATATATATTTTTAAAAAATTTTAAAAGTAAAAATAAAAAAATATTTAAAATTAGAAAAAATATTTTTTCAATCTTAGTTAGAGGTGAAAATTTCGACTCAAGACGAAAATACGACTTGAACTCGATACAAATTTTATGACACCAACTTGATTATAACTCGACACGAGCTTGTAAATAACCTGACACGCGAACAAGAACTATAAATGACTCATATTCAATTCAACCTGTCAAATTCAAAATTGACACCATCAACCCATTTATTTAAAAATAAATATTTTATCTATTTTCTAGTTTGTATGGTAACAAAAAATTAATACTAAATTAACATATTTAACATGGATTCAATTAAGTGAAAATAGAATATTAGTGTTAAATTTTTTATTCAAAGTTTATGTGGGTTAACACAAATACGAATATGAACCCGATACGAAAATAAACAGATCAACTTGACATGATACAATTAGTTAAATGAGTTGAGTGCGATTTGACAAATGTTTAACACAAATTCGTAATGACTCAACACGATTCGATTGCCACTCCTAATCTTAATCGGTACAAAAAAAAATTATTATTTTTATTTTCTATCTATTCTATTAAACACAAAGGAATAAAAATATATTATTTTTACTTTCCTTTTAATAATAAAAAATTTAACCTTCTTATTTTCTATTATTTCTACCGAACATAGCATTAAGAGAAATTTAATAAAATGTAATCATCTACTCATGTGACAGGCTGATGCCCGTCTGTCCGTTCCATCCCTTGCATCATGTATTAATTTTTTACTTTATTCTTTTTTTTTTTAATTTTTAAGTTTTAATTTTCTACTTTATTTTTTTGGTCTGAAAACAAAAAAAATGCTAACCAGCAATGTTTTCTAGTAAAAGGTGATATAGTCCAAAGAAAGGCCAGTTAATCTAAAAATCAAAATTTTATTTTAGTGTATTATTTTGGACATCTAAAAATAGAAAACGTTTTGACCAGTTTCAAAGATAGAATGAAAAACGGACAAAAAATTTGACAATTATTTTTTCAAAACATTTGTTAAAATATACCAAAAAATTTCAAAACACTTTGAAATATTTCAAAACAATTGTGTAAATGAGTAGAAACATTATGAAATATCTTGAAACATTATAAAACACTTCGAAATATTAGAATTTTGATTTTATCAATAATTCATTTCAGTTTCTTTATAAACAAAAATCTTTCAATTGTTTCAACCGTTTTCAAAATTTTAATCCGTAGATTAATCTCCCCTTTCGTTTTAGATAGATAAATGACTAAAATCTCTCTCAATGTGTTTTCAATTTGATTTTCTCCATTATTCTTGAAGATAAGTTCATCACCACGCACGCATTCAAAGGAGACTAATTTACTAAAAAGTGAATTGAAAGATATCTAAACCCCGTGATTTATATGTTAAATCATCTTATTTAATTAGCTTACATTAGTAGAAATTTTTTTTTATCGAAATTATACTCTATTAATGGCCAAAAAGCTTTTTTTTTTTTTTTGACTAATTAGAGAGTTATTACTTTTATATGGGTATGTATAAAAAAAGCTGATACTTTTTTTATTATTAATTTGTAATCAACAGAGAATCGATTATTATTTATATTTTTGGTTGATTGGACTATAAAGTCTTTCAAAATGTTTTTGATAAAAACTACAAAGCCCATGGGTTGGGTAAGGTGGTTGTCGGGTCCATATGTTATCCACTGTGACTACACAACACGGGTCTGTGATGGACTACCAAATACCAATCGCCAATTCCGGAAAGACAACCACACATGTGGGTTCCAATGTGTTCCCTACTCAGTCATCAGGTTGGGCCCACAGGTGCCATGTTTCTATGTGTTGTATCCTTTTACGTGACCTTTTTCGTTCATTGATTTTATTTTAGATAATTTTAATTTATTAATTTAAATAAAAATAAAAAAATATACGGGACATGTTTTTCATGGTTAATAAATAAATATAAAATATCTAAAAAGAGCAAAATATTACACAAATTTAAAATATTGACTTGATTAATTATTGTCATTGATTTAGTTATGGGTCTCAATATTTATTATTATTCATTATCTATTTAATGATTATGATTTATTAAATTAATAAATCAATAAATCAAGTCAAATTTTTAAATACAAATAACATTTCTTATCAAAAAAAAAAACAAGGATTACATTGAAGTGCAATAGGTCATGATGATTTGTCTTACTACATTACCAAGTAGATTATACATATTTTTAATTATATCAGGTTAGGTAAATGTTCGCAAAACTCATGTCATTATACCGGGATAATATCGAACGTCAATTTCTCTATCCTAGGACAGTAACATGTGTCAATTTCATTGCCTTGAAATAGTGAAATACCTCAACGTTATTGTCTTGGGATAGTGGCAAACACTAGTTTGACAAACATAGGATAATGACAAATACAAATTTCATTTCTTAAAAAATATAAATTTATTTGCCGTCGTTATGGATCCGAAGAACGCATGCTAGTGATGGTTTTGCACAACTCATGTTGATGAAGCCACGTTAACAATGCTTGTTGGCTTCATTGGGGATGAACCCATTCCATGGTTGTGATCAATTGAAGGAAGAGAGTTGAGAGAGAAGAATTAAAGAAAAAGAGAGGGAAGAGAATGAGTTGAATAGAAGAATTTAAATATGGGATACAAGTGAGAGAAGGACAAAAAATAGATGATAGAGGGTAATTGAAGAAAGAGAGATGAAGTTAAATAAAAGTGGGATGGAAGAGAGAGAAGAGAAATGAGGGGGATGGAAGTGAGAGGAGAGAAAGAAAAACTTAAATAAGAGATAGAAGAGAGAATGACCGAAGAAAGAGGAGAAATAAAGAGTAAGAGTGAAGAATAAAATTAAAGGGTATTCTTGTCATTAATAATATTAAAATTAAAAATTGTGGACCACACACCTCATACATTATACACACATGTCCTTAATGATTTAAAAAATATATGTTTGTACTTATTAACAAAAAAAAATAAAATATACCGACTTTCAATTTTCACATTATACTTGACGTATTGGTTTGTTGAGACAACCCGACCAGTAGGATTATGGCCCATTAAAGTGGGCCACCATTATTAGCTCCTCAAATTCATTTCTTTTGAAATAAATTAACCATTGGACTGTCGATTTTACATTGTTTATGTGAGAAGATGACTCACTATTACAAATACAATATATGAATTTTACAACAAAGTTTGAACGATTCATGGTATCACGATACATATCTTTCGTTAAATCTTTGGCCCACAATATATCACTATTACAAAGACGTTTAAACGAGTGTCACATCTAAAAGAAAAGCAGAAGTCCCAAAACAAAGGGACAAAAAGAAAAAAAAAAAATCTAAAAATTGACAAGAGATATATAATCAATTAATTAACGGGCGATGGTATTTTGAGCATAATAATCGAGAAGTTCGAAATAAATTATTAGTGATTGGTGGAAGAATAATTGTTTGCTATGGTTACAATGTCAATTTCAAGTGACTTCCACATAGGAAACAAGATGGCAATAGGACCTAGAAGGGCATGACTTTAACTTTAATAGTCAACATGCCTCTCATTCTTCCAAAGGTTGAGAATTTCACCTCTCTTCTCAAACAATGTTAAAATGCCCCTTCCTGCAAGTTTTGTTGATTTCTAGACCCAAGTGGGAACACAAGAATGAGGTTTTTTTGGCAAAGTTTTGAACCTTTTTGTCAAGTTTGTTGGTTGATCAATCCTTACCACTAAAATTCAAGTGAGATTTACCATATATAACTAATTTGCAATACATTTACTATCATTTTTAAAAATAAAGAAAAAAAATAGCCAAAAGGGATGTGAATATATGCTATTAACTCTATTTTCACTACAAGAAAAAGTATTTTTGGCATTGACATCAAAAGTCCATTTCCATTGCAAAAAGTATTTTAAGCATATTTTACTAAACATCATATAGATATTGCATGAGCCCAAAAAGAGAACTAACCTAAGTCCAAGCACCACCTTTATAAGACCATAATCTTTAGAGGAGTGAATGAAATCTTATCGGTCAACCTAAACTTCTTATTGCAATCGATGTGAAATTTTAGTTAATTTTTTTTATGAACACGCATAAAAAAAATACATGCATATTTTAAACCTACTTTACCCGATTCCAAGCACAAACAAGTTCCCCACCCACACTAATTTGGAGCAAAGTGAGAGCTGCCAATTGCAAAGACCAGTAGCCAAAAGATACCACAGGAGAGTACACCCTTCCCAAATTAAATAACCTTGTCCATCTTCATGACCTCAATTAATGTCTTTTTCTTCCTGTCATTAATGTAGGGATTAATGGCGTTACAATTCCTCTATAAGTACCTGCATGCAGGTAAACAGCATAAGTGCATCATTATTGCAACATACTAGTACATCACAATATACATTTGCAACATATTGTGGGTGATATTTTCTTTAATATATTTTTATTTCAATTTTTTTTTTGGGGTAAATTATCTAACATGAATATAAGTGAGACTTATTATATATAAAGTGTGAGTCTCTTATCGATGTATCGTGAATAATCTATTCAAAAAAAAAAAATGTATTTGCTACAACTTACCATACTATCGTGTCATGTAATACTTTTGTACACATCAAGATAACACTTTACCATCTTGAAGTACCAAGATTTATCTAAGAAAAATTCACTATATTTAATTTAAAGGTTACATTACGTTAGTATTATTAAATGGTGTAATTATTTAATTATAAATTGCCAAATATGCAAGCGAACCCCACAAAATTTAATAATTATCCATGTAAAAAGGTAGAGTAATTTTTGTTCACATGTTTGTTTATTAATAGATGATTACGTTGCATGGTAATTTTAATTTGGTATAACTGTTATACTGAATATTTACTCCGCACGCCCCGGTTATTCACTTACACCTGCATTTTGATCAATCAGACACGTGTCACACATCGACGGGTCAACCTTTGGACTTGACGACCATAGTCAAGATTCAATAACCCTAAACAAACCAATAGCCATTACTGTCTTCTCTCTCTCTCCCTCCATTTATTTGACCTTTTTATTCTTCACCTCTCTCCAGGTTTCAAACCTCTCTATTGTCGCCTCTCCTGTTTACTTTTTCTAAGTATATCATCATCTTTATCATTTCTTCTTCTTCATTTTACCTGCAACTTTTATGGAGGTTTGTCCTGCAAGCTCTTTGGAGTTAACCATATCTGTACCTGGCTTCTCATCATCTCCATCTCTTCTGTCCTCCGGTAAGCAAAAGCTATCATGCTCTCTCTTTCTGTCTCTCTCTGCCTCTATCTTTTTCTTCTTCCCCTTCTTTTTGGTGGGTGTTTTGGGTTTGATCGATGTTTGGCCCTTTCCTGATCATACATGTTGGTCTTCTATCGTTTCGATGAGAAATTTTCAGAGATTATGGCGTCTGTATCGTAGTAAACTTCTATATTGCTGTAATTCGTTCTAATTTTATTTTAAACTTTAAAGTGTACGATCTTCTATATTCTTTCTTACATGGGACTTTGTCTGGTCAATTTATTTTTATCAATTTTTCCGGGTCCAAACAAGATTGATATTTAATGGATGATCCTTTTGTAACTTTTATAGAGATGGGTTTGACTTTGATCTTTACAGTTTTTTCAAATTTTTTTTTCTGAATATAAACAAATCATTTATGAAGGAGAAGGCAGTGGTCTAATGAGAGACTTGGACATAAACCAAGTACCCAATGGAGGCCCTTCCAGAAAGAAACTCCGTCTCACTAAGGAACAGTCTCGTTTCCTTGAAAAAAGCTTCAAACAAAACCACACCTTGAACCCTGTAAAACTCTCTCTCTCTCTCTCTCTCTCTCTCTCTATGCATGATCTCTATCTAATCCTTTTGGGCATGTCTTGATGCAGAAAGAGAAGGAGGCTTTGGCGATACAATTGAGACTAAAGCCAAGGCAAGTTGAGGTCTGGTTTCAAAACCGTAGAGCAAGGTACTGTAATGAACTTTAAGTTTAACAATAGTTGAATTAAATGGTGTGTTTGTCCCCTCATAATGGTATTGGTAGTTGGGGTTAAAGTAGCAGAGAACATTAGATATACGTTCAGAATATCGCCAAGTATATAATCGAATCAGATTCTATGGCATATAGATATTATATAATACTACCATGTTTGATAGTTGAAGGAAAGGTCAATGATTTAGGCACCCATTGTTTTGGCAAATGGCTCACAGGAGGGAGGGACCAAGTACCCTAATTCTAGAGCAAAAGGTAATGAATACTTTAGGAAACAAACACTGCTTAAACCTTTTATATGCTTGTATGCAAGTACTTATACCATTTATCATGTTACTATGTGTATCTACATGCTACATTTGTCAACGTTCTAATAAAAGCAAATTTTTAAAGTTATTTTTGCAGAAGTGACTACAAAAGTAATGATAAAGTGATTCAATCTAGTGAGGTTATGACAAAATAAGATTTTTTGATGTCACTGCTAATAGTCTCAGATTAGTTGACCGCGGTGGGTTGTAAATTTACCCTAATGAGTTGTAGCTAATCTCTATTTACTTTTATATTTCGCTACGGTAGTTAGATATATATGGCCCTATATTTACAATACGTTAACCTTTCCTTACATCTAAAATAAAAAAGGTAATTTAGAGGACCCAATTCCAATTATTTTGGTCTTTCTTATTAATATATTTGGTCAATACTGCAATGAGACTAAATATTCATACCAGTCTCCAAAACTGCTCAGTTTTTTTTGAAGGGTTAATAGTCATCAGATCATGATGCTAATGAATGCCAGTTTAACCAGTTTGTGTTGGATCCGCAATGTCTAAGCATGTGAGTCAATGAATATGTTAATCTAATCAAATAGTAGTTATAATGTGTCATTAATTTTATGTTACATCCAATTAACTCGTATGTGACTGATAACATGTAACATTAGGGATGTTAATATTGTACACCGTGTGATTCATTTCGTCTTAAATTTTGCTCAATCCATACCAATACCATCTGTATTTGTATAAATGCAAAGTTGAGTCGTGTATAACCATGTTTAGTAGAGTACTTGTGTTTATCTCGGATTTGTTGTCTGGCTGATAAGTCCGTGACAGATTTTTTTATTTATCACTTGAATCCGCTAAGGCTTAACCAAAATATGTTAACTCGGTGCTATTTTCGTGTTGGGTAACCAAGTGTTGTTAGAATTGCAGGGTCTCATTAACATATTTATAGGCCAAATGTAGGAGAATCATTGCAATATTTATCAACCAAACCTTGGAGATTAATAATTCACTGTTATCACTCTTTTGTGTAGTAATAATTACAAGTACCTTTTCCTTCTGGAATTGACATTTCTAGAATCATTTACTTCATGCTATCATATTGATGCAGTGATGTTGTACTTGAAAACTTCGTAAAATTGCATTTACCAGGTTCACTATGAGAATTAAAGGATACCCTAGAAAGCCAGGAGGAAAAGTTATGGAGTGGAGCTTCCACAAGTGGCAGTGGCTCATCTTCATTGCCACCAGATCTATCACATCCATTGTCTTGAGCCATAAAAATGAAACAATCCAACATATACTTTTGCCTATACACTCATGTGAATTATTAGATTACAAGTGAGTTTTATATAATATCGAACCATAATTAATCTAACAATTACATTAAATTTAGTCTATATAACATTGCTTGTGTTGAAATGCTGGAGAGAGCTATGCAATCGATACCCCATTACTTGTCTCAAGACAATCTTTTGCCCAAAAGGTCTTAGAAGCGTAGTATATCGAGCTGACTGGAATTGGATGGCTTTAAGGGTGTAGACGTGTAGTGACCCGAGGTCTCAAGTTTGAATGCTTAACTTACAAAATGTGCATAGTTTACAAGTAATTACAACCATTCGGAATTTGTATAGTACCCATTTAAACCAGAACGTACAAAAGTGGGATGATTCTTTGTCACAAAAAAGGCAAAATAATAATAATAATAATAATAAAAAATAGAAAAGAGTATATAAAGAACAACTAGGGAATGAGTGTCATGAGACCAACTAGCAATATTAAATGACATGGTTGAAAAGTTGCCAGGTAAATTAAGATGCTCTACAAACTTAGGTATACAACTGTTAAATTGTATTAGTAATGTTGTAAAGACATAAAGAATTGACATAATTCGTTAATTTAATGATATAACAGTGATGTGGTCTAATAGTGTTGTTATGACTATAACTGTTGTTATGTCGGTAAATTATGTTCGTTGTTTAGGTACTAATAGTATTACTCAAATTCTATTACCTGATGCAATGTTGTTTTGGAAATACAATAGGGGCAAGCTGAAGCACACAGAAATGGAATGCCAGTACTTAAAGAGATGGTATGGTTCACTAACTGAACAAAGCAGGAGGCTACAAAAGGAGTTAGAAGAGCTAAGGGCAATGAAAGTAGGCCCGCCCACCATGATATCTCCGCACAGTCGAGTGCCCCTTCCGGCATCCACCCTCACCATGTGCCCCCGGTGTGAGCGCGTTACCACCACCATCCCAGACAAGGGCCCATCGAAAACCACCACCACCACCACCCCCGCAACCAACCCCGCCACCTTGTCTGCCAAAGTGCCCATCCTTCCCTCCCGACACACTTCAACAACATATTAGTCAGTAACTCGTAATATAATGTCTCCCTGCACAAAAAAGGGAATGATTAGGCAATGTTCATAGTAGTGGTAGTAGTTCCTATATACAGTAAGTCATAATGTAATGTCTCCCTCAGTCCCTGGAAAAAGGGAATGATTTGAAAATGTTCCTAGTTGTGGTAGTAGTTCATGTATACAATATTTTTGGATGATAATACGATATCTATCAAATTGTTTTCTAATGATCGAGTGTTGTTTCAACTAGATGTTTTTTTGACTCGTGACTATTAAGCAAATGTTGAATGCGTCCAATTACCCATAATCACGCCCATCAACTCAATATGAAATTCGTTTAGATATTTTTTATTGGTAGTTCATTTTTTTCATCTAAATTATCTCATTCTTGTTGTCAAAATGGCAAGCAAATAGATAAATATGTTGGCATTCCTTGCTATTATTCTCCCTTGGTAAGAGACTGTGTGCTCAGCATTATATAACACCATTAAATTAAATAACGTATTAGGAAAAATAGTTTGTAATTAGACACCGGTCCAACACAACCAACCTAACAGATCAGTTGATTATTACTTTTTTTTTTTTATCACCAATGCCATCGGTAATGGACTAAATAAGTCTTCCTACATGATTATGGTGCAAACTACAAACCCCACGAGGTAAGTTGTCGGTGGGGTCCTCATGTTATCCACTGTGACTACACAACACGATCGTTAGAAGATGCCTATGGTAGTGCGGAAAGTATGCACCATTACTATTTTTTATAGTAAAATTATAATTTTAAAAAGATAAATTATAATTGTTTAACGAATGGTCACGATTAATTACAGAGACTCATATTTGGTTATATTCTTTAAAGTTATAACTTACACATAAAAAAAGTTATAATTTTTGGTACCATTGACGGTACCGTGGCCTTTCTTTAATGCTCCATTTTATACGAGACTTTCTATAATTCAATGAAAAAAAATAAGAATAATATATTTTCCTTTCCTAGTGTAACAATCGAATCGTTTCATATCAGGTTCGTGTCAAGTTATTGTGGATTTGTGTCAAACATAACTCAGCTCGTTTAATTAATAGTGTCGTGTTGAGTTAATTTATTTATTTTTGTATCGTATTCGTGTTCATATTCGTGTTGACCTACATAAATTTCGAATAAAAAATTTAACTCTAATATTTTACTTAATTGAATCCATACTCATATTTTTTTTACAAACTAAAAATAAATTAAATAAATATAATAATAATAATAATAAGTAAAAATATTTTTTTGTATAATAATTATGTCAGTGCCTAATAGATAGTTACAAATAATTAACATTTTATATCTATAATACTAGTTAAAATGTTTAATTTCGTATTACCATACAAATAAGAAAATAGAAAAATTATTTATTTTATAATAAATAGGTTGATAATATCAATTTTGGATTTGACGGGTTGAACTAAAGATGAGCCGTTTATATTTCGTGTTCGTATGTCAGGTCATTTTGTAAGTTTGTGTCAAGTTATAATCAAATTCGTGTCATAAAATTTGTGTCGAGTTTGAGTTGTATTATCGTGTTTAGTCAAAAAATTTTACTCCTAACTAAGATGGAAAAAATATATATTTTATTTTATTTATTTTTAAAAAATATAAATACATATTTTATTATTGTATTTATATATGAAATTAATGTATACATAATATATATATATATATAGATAAATAAAATTTATTTCAACACAAATAATTAACTTTTCATCAACTTTTTTTCTGATTTTAGAGGAATTAATTTTGGTGAATTGAAAAGAAAACTCATCCATCTATTTTTTTTATTCTTCTTATTTTTCTTATCTACTTAATATAATATTTTATTTACTTTTCAATCTTTTAATTTTTTATCATTTTATTTTTTAAGTACATTAGTGCTGTCCCGGTCTGTGATCGGACTACCGATCGATAATTTCTCAGGATAAAAAGACAAGTGGGTCCCAATGTGTTCCCTACCCAGTCATCAAAGTGGGGTCCACGGGTGCCGTGCTTCTATGTGTTTCTAGATTTGTTTTGTCCGAACCTAGTAGCGTGTATGGGCGGGGGCGCCATAGACTTGGGATTGATTACAATTTTTTTTTTTTAATTTTTCAGACAAGAGGGATATTTGAGTCTATTTATACATATTTTGATTAATTTTTTTTCATTCAATTAAAGATATATAATTCACATTAAAATTAAAATATTTATGAAAGATAATTATAAAAAATTGTCAAAATTTAAAATTAAAATATCTAAATTTATAATTCGTTTATGTTATTATTTAAATTACCTTTTAAGTTGGGGATTGATTACATTGAATCACGGTGTTTGATTTGTCATACGACATTGTAAAGCAGATTACACATTTTTTCCATCATATCAGGTGAGTTAGGTGTCGGCAAAATTAATAAATATATACATGAAGAATCATTATGCTATAGAAGACAAAAGCTCAAATATTCAATTCATCAATTATAAAATTCAAAAAATATATTATCCATACTTTTCCTTTAAAAAATTGTCGGCAAAAGACACTATAATCAGTGCGTGAAACTATAAGATTTAAAAATTATAAAACACGTACTTGCTGAAAAAAAAAAATGTTTGCAAGTGGCTTGAGGCTTAGTGAATTGCCTAGATGGCATGGTCGTTTATGAGCCGACTTGACCTATGTACGCAGTGATTCAAGACAATATATTAATACTATGATGAAGTTTAAACGAATCAAAAGCCTACCATGTATCACTTTTACAAAAAGGTTTGAACAATCTCTATTCGGAAGAAAGGTATGATATGATTTCAAAAAAAAAAAGGAAAAAAGAAAAAAGGAATATGGAAGTTCAAAATAGTTTATTAGTGCTTGGTGGATGAGCAAGTGATAACCATGGTTACAATGTGGATTTCAAGTGACTTCCATATAGGAAAAAAGATGCCAATGGGACCTAGCAGGGCGGAGCTACCCTTGGGTTAAGGTGGGCACATCCCCCTCAATATTTTTTTGTATTTTATTTTGGTATGTATTTCTTGAAATAAAATTTAGACATATTTAATTGTAAATACCCTAATATTGTGTTTTGATTATATCGATTTGAATAGATCCCTACCTAAATAATTGTTAACTTTTTAAATAATATAATTGAAACTTAATTTAAAGATCTAGCACATTGAAATATTAAGTATAATAGTGAGTTTTAATATTTAATGAACTCTGATATCTATCAAATGGTTACAAACCATTGGTCTCCATCAATTAAATCTCAAATTAGGTGCAACTAATATTATTAATTAGACATGTTTCAACATGTCCGGATATGTATTGAAATATTGATATTTTATAATTAAAAATTGTAGGGTTATATCATTATAAAAATGTATATTGTTATGTAGTAAATTATAGGATCATAAATCAAAGATTGTTACCGCAATTTTATATATAAAATAAATATTGTCAATAAAATTAATTTGTAACTCTTTCAATTAATAAAAATATTTTAGGGTCAATTGTAAATAATAATAATTAGTCGCATTATCGATAAAAAATTTTAATTATTATTTTTTTTTCATGTATATCGATTTTTAATTTTCAATAAATATAAAGTTATGAACTTCTACAATCTATTAAAAAAAATTAAAACACGTTAGTGTATCCACCCTAAAAAATTTTCTCTGTCTCCAGCTCTAGGGCCGACCTAGAATTTTTAGTGACTTTTACTTTCTATAGTCAACATGCTTCTCATTCTCCCAAAGGTTGAGAATTCCACCACTCCTCAAACCAGGTAAAAATGCCCCTCCATGCAAGTTTGTTTACTTTCTATTGATTATTTGCGATAGGACTTTGTGGTTGTAAAATATTTTTTTGCAGAGCCGTCTATTGTGGCTGAAAAAATGCCGTCGTCGCAAAATAATATTTGCGGCGATAGATATATTTTTTGCTCACAAAAAATCTTTTTTCTTGTTAAATAACTCATACACTCATTAGTAATAAATAATTTGTTAACAAAAAAAATATATTGTAGAAGTTATAGACAATTGATGCAAATCTAAATCAATTCTAATTTGAAAATCCTATAGGGTCCCATTAACTTAATGGTTGCCCATGTTGTCCCTGTGAGGTCTTGGGTTCCAGTCCCACCACCTATAATTCTTTTTAACTTTTCAAAAAAATTTATATTTAATTTGGAGAAAGTAATCCTTGATGCTAGATTAATTACTTTGAATCTAAGTAAAATCTACTATTTTTAAGTGGGTTTTCCACTATTATTCGGTGAATAATTCAACATTGAGAGAAACGAGAAAATCTAGCTCTGAAGTGACAGTAATTTTTTTGACTTTAATCACCACTCACCATTATAAGCTAAAAAGTTTAATATTATTGGTGACATTTAAATTCTATGGTACACACCTTACACATGATATCCCCCAAGGGTGATGATTTAATGTGGCAGAGTTATGACCATGGTAGATTGGGTTATATTTCTTATAAACTTGATTAAAGCATAAGATGAACATGACTTCATTATGACATAATATACAACCCTAGTAATTTAATGTTGTCACGGACTAGTATAAACTTCGTTTCCTGTGCTATACTATATAACAAACACATTTGAGGTTGAGCATAACGATATGACTCTTTAAGAACAATGAGCGGAGAAACATAATGTAATGTAACCTTTTGTTTGAGTATATATATTTTTTTGGTATTACGATAATAGTGTTTGATCAATTTATACTTTTTAATTCAGTTAAAAATAGATTATTTACTTTATATATATACATATATATATATATATATATAAAATTAAAAAATTACTAAATTTTAAAATCCCGATGCCGTAAATTTATAGGTAGTCATACATGGAGGTAACTTGGGTTGTTGGTTATTTGTATGTATGCCGGCGCATATAAAATTAAAGTGGACATTAAATTCTAGTGAGAGTAGGGATGTTCAAATTTTCGATCGATTGCAAGTTCTTATCCAATTTGACCTTACTGAACGGCTAGCCGTAAAAATTGGGTAGGAATACAGAATAGTTATCCATTTTCGCATTCTTACCCTATCCTATCTACAATAATTTTTATATATATACAAATTAAAAAACTAAAAAAATCATAAACTCTAGCGGAGCAATTATGATTTTAATGTATTTTATATGGTTTAAAGTTTAAACTTAAATTAATTGTTATTATATTTGTGTAACAATTATGGTGGATTGATGTTCATACTTTCTTATGTTTTATTATAATTCTTGTTGTAGTTGTTTTAGATTTTAGTATTAATTAATTTATTTTGTTGTTAAATTAATGCATATTATTTAATTAAATTATTAAAATAATTCAAAAATTAATTGTTACAAAAATATTTATCCGACTTCTTACCCGATTAAGCGGGTAGGAAATCGGGTAAAAATACCACATCTATAAGATATGATAGACAAAAAAAAAATTCTTTCGTAAAATATCGAATAGGAATACGGAAGTAAATATTTTTTATCGATTACCCCTAATTAAGAGGCCGAAGGGTTTTGCCGATCATTCCACCATCTGACCTCTGAACCGACGACCAACAGTCTACTCGCTTTCGCTCAAGGAAACAAAGGACTCTGCCGGTTCTTCACCTGCATCTGAATTTTGATCAATTGGACACCTGTCCTACATCAGATGGGTCAATCTTTTGAATTGACTCTCATAGTCAAGATTCAATAACCCTAGGCAACCCCAATAACCATGACCATCTCTCTCTCTCTCTCTATTTATTTGACCTTTTCATTCTTCACCTTTCTCTATGTTTCTACCCCCTCTATTGTCTCCTCTTCTCCTTTATTTTTCTGTTTCTAAATATACCATCATCTTTATCATTTCTTCATCATCTTTTTGCCTGCAACTTTCATGGAGGTTTGTCCTGAAAACTCTAAATGTTTGGAGTTAACCATATCCGTACCAGGCTTTTCTTCATCTCCATCTCTCCTGCCCTCCAGTAAGCAACGAATTATAAGTTTCTCTCTCTCTCTCTCGATATATATATATATATGTATATGTGTATTCTTTATAGATTCCTCTATTCTTCTTCTTCTTATTTTTTCTGGGTTTTTCGGGTTTGATCGGTGTTTGGCCCTTTTCAGATCATACATGTTGGTTTTCTATCGAGCACAAATTTCAGAGATTATGGCGTCGCCATTGAAGTAAAACTTTTATGATGTTACAAGTCATTCTAATTTTATTTTAAATGTCCTTTCTTGCATGGCGCTTCTTATGGTCAATTTTCTCTGATCCATTTTTCGGGCCCAAACATGATTGATAATTAATGGATGATCTATATCAAATTCTTATATATAGATATGGGTTTAATGTTTACTGTTTTATGTACTAATTTTGTCTGAATATCACAAAATATTAATGAAGGAGAAGGTAGTGGTCTAATGAGAGGTTTGGACATAAACCAAGTACCCTCAGGAGCAGAAGAAGAATCCATGGAAGAAGAAGATGATAGCCCCAATGGAGGTCCTCCCAGAAAGAAACTCCGTCTCACAAAGGAACAATCTCGTCTCCTTGAAGAAAGCTTCAAACAAAACCTCAGCTTGAACCCTGTAACTGATCTCTCTCTCTCTCTCTCTCTCTCTCCTGTGTGTGTGTGTGTGATATCCATCAATTTTTTGAGGCATGTCTTGATGCAGAAACAAAAGGAGGATTTGGCAATGGAATTGAAGCTAAAGCCACGGCAAGTTGAGGTCTGGTTTCAAAACCGTAGAGCAAGGTACTGTACTGGACTTTTACAAACGTTGAATTAAATGATGTATTTGCCCCCTCATAATGGTGTTGGTTGTTGGGATTAAAGTTGCAGAGAACATTAGATGTACGTTCAGAATATGACCAAGTATATAATCTGAATCTGATTCTATCCTTAAAGTAGACAGATTTTTCATTTATTAATGGTACCCATATATTATATATAGTACCACCATGTCGATAGTTGAAGGAAGGTCAATGATTTAGGTGCCCAATTGTTTTGGCAAATGGGACACAAGAGGGACCAATTGCCCTAAATCTGGTGCAAAAGGTAATGTGTACTTTAGGAGATGCAACACACTGCATAGATCCTTTGTAGTGCATTTATGCAAGTATTAATACACTTTATCATGTTACTATGTGTATTTGTATGCTACGTACTAAAAAAATCTTTTTTTGTGCATGCATCTATACATAAAAATATTTTTGTATGTGTGTGTGTGTGTGAGAGAGAGAGAGAGAGAGAGAGAGTGAAATAAAATTATTTTAGAAAGATAAAATTAAAGCAAGATTTTTTGTGGTGGTTTCATTTTGGTTCATTGTGGTTTAGTTGGGTTCGCATGAAACTATATTCAACTCAAATAATTTTTGATATATCCATGCAGATATGCATACTTATAACAAGTTTGTGCTGAACATGATCATCTGATGTTTAATAAACATCAGGTCATGACTCGAATGAATGCCAGTTTAAGCAGATTGTGCTGCCCCTCCATGTCCTCATATGTCGATTAATGCAGTTGTTAATCTAATCAATTGCTTGTAGGTAGTTACAATTTACAATTTAATATCAATTTTATGTTACATGTGACTCAACGTACGGAGGAAGAAAGCTGTAAAGGAAAATTTGCGGTTAGTCGAATTAAATAATGAGCTACAATTTAGGGTTGTCAATGAGTGATCATATCTGGTCATGTTTCCAGACTACATGTTTGCTTAATTTATACTTGACTCATTTATAATTGTGTATAAGAAGGTTCGTAGTGTATTGATTTCGTGTCGTATATAAGTTTTGTTTAATTAAATTTGTTTTATGTTTAATTAAGTTCATGTTGAACGTCTATTTGTCGAATTTAATGAGTTTATCTATTTATCGCCTGAACTAAATCTAAACTCATTAAATTTATATTGTTTTTGTGTCAAGTCGGCATGTCATGAGTAAGCCTAAGTAACATTTTCATAGGTCAAATGTACGAGATAATTGCAGTATTTATGAACCAAAAGGTAGGAGTAATAATTCATTGTTATCACTCTTTTGTCCAGTAATAATTACAAGCACATTTTTCTTCATGAATCTGCATTTCTGGAGTCAGTTAATGCTTGATATCGTATTGATGCAGTGAAGTTGTACTTCAAAAACTGGTAAAAAAAAAGCATTTACAAAGCTCACAGTGTAAGCAGTAAAGGATACCCTGGCTAGTTAAGCCTGGTGGAAAAGTTATGAAGTAGAGCTTTCATAAAAGGCAGTAGCTCATGTTCATGGCCACCTGATCTATCACATCCTTCGTCTTGAGTCGTAAAAATGAACCAATCCAACAGATATTTGTATGTCACATGCGTGTTGAAAGATAAGACAGATGTATGACACAATTTGCCTCATTGTCTGTCCATCAAAATGAGTAGGCAAACACTTATCGGGATAGCGTGTGTCTGTCCAACTATGCCAATATGAGAAAAGAACCGAAAATAGGATGATTTGGCCATTTTTGAAATGAGTTCTTCTAATACAGAAGCTTAATGGTTACTTTGTTGATTCGGTTGTTGCTCTGCTTGGTTTAGGCCCTTGATAGAGAGATCTTAGATTTCAATAAATGATTAGACGTAATAGGGAATTGAATTGCTTCTTTCAAAACTAGCCCTTCTTGGTCGAAGTACAAAGATTCAAATCTCAGTAGTTCAACGTTGGTGACACCGAAATTTGCTGTTGAGGCTGTAGTTTACGATGCATCACTTCCATATAGCGAGGGAAGATCTTAGGTCTTCTTATTCCACCGAATGGGAAGGTCTTGGGAATGTAGTACCTTGAGCTTCTGTATTGAAGTCTCTAGTTTACAGAAAAAAAAAAACTAGTTTATGAGTATTTGCATGCATTCGAAGTTTATGTTTATCCATCAATCCAACTGACATGTAGTTGAAACGATTATTGGTTATCCCAAAAAAAAAAGTAAATAACAAACGGCCAATCATCGTCATTGAGACCAACTAGCAACATTAAAATGACAAGATAATGAGAAAAAAAAATTGAAGTCTTCACTTCATAGATAAATTAAGATGCTTCCTAAGTTTGTTTTACAATTTTTAATAATCTATTATTTGATACAATTTAGTTTTGAAAATATAATAGGAGCAAGCTGAAGCATACAGAGATGGAATGTGCTTATTTGAAGAGATGGTATGGTTCACTGACTGAACAAAACAGGAGGCTACAGAAGGAGGTAGAAGAGCTAAGGGCCATGAAGGTAGGCCCACCCACCGTGATATCGCCGCACAGTCGTGAGCCTCTCCCGGCATCCACCCTCACCATGTGCCCTCGGTGCGAGCGTGTTACCACTAATGTTCCCTTCAAAGACCCCACAAGAACCACAATCACCACCACCGCGACCAACCACCCAGCCACCTTGTCTGCTAAAGTGCCTATATTTCACTCCCGACATCCTTCAACAGCATGTTAGTCAGAAACACATAATGCATGTAATGCCCCAATGGAAAAAAAAGGGAATGATTAGATAATGTTCATAGTAGTGGTAGCAGTTCATATATAAAATGTATTTGGTTAGTACAATGGTATCTATTTATATATTTTTTAGGGTTAATAATATTTTGAATCCCAAAAGTATGTATTATTTATCAATTTAGTCTTTATTGTATTAATGTTGTCAATTTAGTTCCTAAAGTATTCAACCTATGTTACTTTGGTCTTTAATCAGACAATCTGTCAAATTTTTTGACGGTCGTCATTTATTTTAGACGGTATCACGTGTCCAACATATGATTATTCAATTAAAATTTAACAATCTGTCTATGTAGATATTAAAATTACACGAATTGAATATTTTAAGGACCAAATTAATAAAATTGATATAATTAAAATTAAATTGACAAAAGATATATATTTAAGGACCAAAATAATATTAACCCTATTTTTCTATGATCTAATTTAGCCCAACCACCCATTTTTTTGACATATGTATATTCTGATTGTTGTAAATTCACCAATAAAGCACACCCATCAAGAGTCAACAGGGGGAGATCTATTTAGATTTTTCTCCTTGGTACCACATTCTTTTCAACTTTGGTACCTTATTCTGTTTTTTTGGGAGTTGCCAAATGGCAAACACATAGACGAATATGTTGACATTCCTTGCTATTCTTCTACTTCCAAAGAGGTTTTATTACCGCATTTAAAATGATTAATATTACATGTATTTAAAAAATAAATTTGATAATCAAAATTATTAAATAGATAATAAATTTCAATAAATATTGAAACTCAATTAAAATCAATAATTATAATTAATAAATTTACTATTTAAGTCCAAAAAATACGTATCAATACCGTTACATGTGTGGATGCTCTAGCCATTCAGGGAGAACAATAATCACAGAGATTAGTTAAACTTGACAAGATCCTAGCGTTTCAATTTATTAAAAAAATCAAGTGATATTATATTAGCTTTTTGGAACAAAAATTTGAAAAAAAACATGGGAGACTCGAGAACAACCCACATGTGTACAATAAAGTATAGTTTGCATTCAAAATTTAAACATTAGCCAAGTGAGGGGAATCATTATTTGAGGTATAGTGATTAATATCTTTTTTCGAACTCATTCTCTACTTGAATTTGTTGATAGATCTTCATTCTGTCCAGAAAAACACATTCAAGAAGAGAACAATTGAATCAAAGATTAATCCATTTTACAATGCTTGGATTGCACAAGATCAAGCACTTAATTATGACTGTCATCAATGCAACCTCATCGAGCACGGCACTGTCACATTTCATAGGATACAATACTTGTGAAGTTTGGTTGGCTCTAGAACGAAGATACTCCTTGATCTTGAAGATAGATCTTCAATCCGTCACCAAAGGATCCAATACAGTTGATTCATATATACAAAAGATCAAAGAAATTAGAGACAAACTAGTAGCTGTAGCACAGTACACATTGATGATGAGGATATCCTTAAGACTTCAATCTGCACGAGCTCTCACCTAAACCTGAATTTTGATCAATTGGACACGTGTCATACATCAGATGGGTCAATCTTTTGACTTGACGGCCATAGTCAAGATTCAATAACCCTAGGAAACCCCAATACCCATGACCATCTTCTCTCTCTCTCTCTCTCTCCATTTATTATTCACCTTTCTCCATGTTCCTATCCTCTCTATTGTCTCCTCTCCTGCTTACTTTTTATGTTTCTAAACATATCATCACCTAATTAACTCTCTTTACGAGTTTTACTGCCCATTCTATTGAACATTTTTTTTTCTTATGATAGATTGTCTTATACTTTTTATTGTTTTACATCATTTGTCTTCTCTCATTCTGTTCCTCACACTGTTCATGAAGTGCTTGTTCATCCCAGTGATGTCAAGCAATGAAAGAGGAACTCATTGCTCTACATGAGAACTAGACTTGGGAACTCGTTCCTCTTCCTTCTGAGAAGAAATTAGTTGGTTGCCGATAAGTGTATGTTACTAAGTACCTGCCTAATGGTTCCATTGTGAGATTAAAAGCTCGAATGATTGCCAAAGGTTTTACTTAGACATATGGTGTGGATTATCCTGAAACCTTTTCTCCCGTTGCCAAGATCTCACTTGTTTGGGTTATTATCTCTCTAGCAGCAAATTTTCAATGGTCATTGTTTCAGTTAGATGTCAAAAATGCTTTTCTATATGGTGACATAACTAAAAAAATTTATATAAAACAACCACCTAGGATTGTTGCTTAGGGGAGTCTAGTGATAAGATATGTAAATTAAAGAAAGCAATATATGGCCTAAAACAATCATCTCAGAGCATGGTGATTGTTTTGATTAGTTAATATTAACTATCAGATTAATTTACAGTAAAATTTGAAATGATCTCAACCAAGAAAAGTAAAAATTATTTTTTATGTCTTAAATCTTTGTATTTTATTATATAGAAGATTATAAATATCTATACTACTTTAAAATATTAGCATATATGAAAAATATTTTTTTTCACTTTTACCCTCTAATACTACAACTATGCAATACTTATCCGCCAAATTTATCCTTATATTAAATATCAATATTTACTGTACATTGAATAGACCAATTACCGGTTACAATTTGATCCTACTTTAAGTTTTCTAGATCGGCTGCAAACCAACAGTGTGATGCTACCAACTCTCACAATAAGTTCTCAATATCCCTTCATCTACTGGCTCTCATCTTTATAATGGAGAGGTGGATAACATCAACTCATGCAATATTAGTGTGTGTTATCAGGAGATTTCAAATCAAAGTAGACGATAAATGACGACGACGACAAATATTGTTGTGCCCGACGGTGGAGCAGAAGCACAGTTCATTATATTGAAGGAATTGTGTTTGCTGAAAATTTGCTGTTTTCCCAGGATTGTGACTCTCATGTCGATCGCTTAGAACATAAGCTCTGTTGTGCTAAAAAGAATTATTGTCGAACCTACTCCATCTCCGCATATGGCCACACCAATTGCTTGTCGTCCTCCATACAACTAGCCCTTTCCAATCCGCCATCGTCTTCATTCACTTCTCTATTGGTACACATTTTTATATTATACGTAATGTATCTGAATGTTATTAAATGAGAATTTATGGCAAATCTACAATTTGTTGGTTAATTTTTGTTTTTATTTTGGGTTTTTGGGAAGGGGTTTGTGTGATTTGTTGTGGAATAAGGGGTTTGTGTGATTTTGGCAGGTGAATTACATATTTTAATCCTTTGTTTAACAGTCTCTTCAGAATATGACAAATTCCTCAAAAACAATTGGGTGCTTGATAATTAGAAAAAACTGTTCCAGTCTATTTTTCCTTTTTGCTTATATCTTTTCAGCAATTAAATACAATATTGAGGCTATAATAGGAGGTCAGTGAATCATTTTACAGTCAACCAATGTATTATTGCTCTATTTTTCAATTGGATGGTAGGATGCTAGACTTGAGCTGCAATTTATATAATTCGGTGTGTATACCATCTTATGCATAATTGTTTCTTAGGTTGATGCATACCCCTAATGCTTATTTCATGTTGGTTGTGGCAGACTTTTTCCAAACTCATTGCAAGACAATCCTGCATACTCTGTTGTTAAGTAAGTAATTTTGTAATTGTATGTTAAATAGCTTTAGCATTTGCCACATAAGAATTTTGATTTGCATTGATCAATGGGAATAAACTTGTTTTTGCTGGACAGTATTTTGTCAATGACGATGATACTATTGCCCAAAAGGTCAGTTTTTGTTTGAGATTTAACACGCCTTAAACCTACAGACAAACACACACAATCGAAAAACAAACCAATAACATAAAACAATAAGAAACAAGAAAGAATAAGACACAAAGATTTTACGTAGTTCGATAATTTGCCTACGTTCACGAAGCTGCAGAGATTTCAGTATTGAGAGAGCGAACGGAATACAAACGGCGACTTTCAGTTACAATCAAAAACCTAAACACCAAAGTAGTGGTTTTTATATTTCCTGCGTACTGGGCTACAAATCGGCCCAAGCCTAAAAAAATTTCCTATTAAAAACCACGTAACATTATTTTGGGTCGGGTCATTATCTGGGTCAACACACAAATTAGATTCCACAAAGGCCTAACAGTTTTTCCACATACGTTTGGGTTGAAAGAATTTTTTTTATCTTTTCAAGCATTGAGAAGTAGAATTCTTACTGTGATTTCACTGTAAAATTAGATGTTTTTCTGTCAGCACAAATGTGTCTGGCAAGGGTTGACTTGAACATTTACGTTATCATGGGCCTGGAGGTTACCTATGGATTTAATTTTGTTAAAAAGTTGGTGTTTACATTACTATGGGGGGCTTCCCTCTATGTCTTACAGACAGAAAGGAGACTGTTACCGCCTATTGTTCAATTAGAATCCCACGTATGTGCATAATTGTCAATTTGTTTTGAATTTGAAGTGTGTACAAGTTTCTTAAAAATTTCATTAAATCATGTTGCATGGCTTTGATGAACAATTATTGGTTACATGGCTTTACGAGGACCAAAAGATCACTTAAACACATCCAACAAATTATAGCTGTGCAGAGCATGAGTTAAGATGCATTCAACAAGATATCGGAGAACAAACAATCCTACACAACCCAAATTAAACATAAAAAATTATAACTTAAATGCATATCATCTCTTAAATGAGTGAGTTTCATCAATTTTTTTAGTGATATCCACTCATGTAACACTCATCCAAGGGATGATATGCATTTAAATTTTAATTTTGAGTTTCAGTTGGGTTATATAGCATTTTCCTTGGAGAATTCACAGACTTATATTGTCGGCACTCTTAACTGTTATTTTTTCTAGTTATATTTTACATGCATTTAAGTCGGTGATCTCCTTTAGAGATTTATTCCATGTTTTGTAGTCCATGAATTTTTCTCATCAAGAGAGATATTGTCATGAAAAATAACATAATAATTTTATCAAATTGGTAAACATCCTGACGATATTGTTTTTCCAAAGTGCAATTGAACATTGATGCCCGAATCCACTACAAGAAATATGGGAAAATTTGGCATTTAATTTTTGATGTATAACTTAAACGTCACTAAAATTAACGTTTGTTTATAAATGCTACAAATTCTTAATAAAAAAAAAAATTTACTCTTAATTTCAAGCATTTGCGTATAAACGCCACAAATTATTGATAAAAATAAAATTTTTTTTGAACTTAATTTCCGACATTTAGGTTTAGAGTCACAAATTCTTAATTAAAAATAATAAAAAACTTTTTTTTCTCCTCCAACGTAATCCTAAATTTTTCCCCAATGCCACTCTCTGGACTGCCGTCTCACTCTCTCAAGCAACTCCTCGTCGTCGCTCTCTCCGGCGATTCCTCGTTGACTCTCTATCAGGCGACTCCTCACTGTGCCTCTCGCAGGTGCCTCCTTGTCGGCTCTCTCTGAGGCACTTCTCTGATCGTCTTCTCTCTCTCAAGTGAGCTCTTGCATCTTCACTCTCTGAGATTGTAAACAACTCTTGGAAAATTTTGAGAATGATTTTAGTTTCATTGTTCCTTTTTCAGTGCATATGATAGAGCGGCCATCAAGTTCCGAGGAGTGGAGGCAGACATAAATTTTAGTCTAGATTACTATGATGAGGACCTGAAACAGGTAGGTAGGTTGATCGATCGATCGAGAGAGTTTCATCTTATCTTCTTTTTGAGTTTCGTTTGTTATTTGCTTAAGTAGAGCGCATAATATTCTCATAAATTTTGCAACAGACGAGAAATCTGACGAAGGAAGAGTTTGTTCTTGTACTGTAGGCAGCTGATTATTCTAATCTAATTCGACTTCTAAGATTCCTTGGTTCATGTTTAATTTGAATATTCCAGTGAATTCTACTTGTTTATATATGTTCAGGTGCCATGTATGTTTTTTTTTTTAAAATTCAGTAGGGTATTATCAGAGAGTGAATAAATTTATACATTGCATGATATAAAAGAGGTGTAAGTGTCCATTATTCTTTGCAAGAGTAGTTTATAAAAGTACAAATTATTGTTGAATGTATTAGTTTACTCCTTCGCTTGTAGGCTCAGATGGGTGGAATGCTTAGATGAATACTGAATCGATCTTCATAACTAGCCTATAATGAATTTCACTCTTAACCAGTTGCTATGATGTAATTGCATGAAATCAGGTTGGAAAAGAGTTGGTGAAAGATATGAATCAGGCTTTGGAGAACCATGGGGTAAACATGCGAGTTTCAACTCTGGTAAGCTAGTTATTTAGTGTGTGAGATTTTTTTTGTTGTGTTGCTTGACTTTGGTATTCAACAATAATGTTTTTTTGCACAATTAGATTTCTCCTAGATTTTGATGGAAAATTTATTTCTGAGATAATTTATACGTGATTGCTCAATCAGCTTGATGATACCATTGGAGATTTGGCTGGAGGAAGGTACTACAACAGAGACAGTGTGGCTGCAGTGACTATGGGGATGGGCACAAATGCTGCTTATGTAGAACCAGCACAATCAGTATCCAACATAATTGTTTTAGTGCGAGTATTTTTTGTTTGGGTTAGTAAGCTTATATTGAGTAATCCGTCGATATACAACATAATGAGTTTCCTCATCACAATAACAGGGCTGTATATGGTTAGAACATTGTTTCTGATGGCTAGTTCTATTTTCTTTTTCTTTTTCTGTTCTTTTGTGCAATTATTTCCATTCTTGCATTTAGGAATATGGTTGTGCAATGTATTCATCGATGATGACTGCTGAGATCATTCTGTGCTGATCTTTGATTGGTCTGTGTAACCCATGTTCTCTACTTCCTTCCTTGTCAAACCGCAAAACATATGATGGCATCATAAGAAGACTGCATAGACTACCTGGCCCTTCTAAAGCTTCATAGAATTAGAATGTCTGTACTGTGAATCTAGTTTTTTAAGGTATGTAGAAGTTAAAATAGCTTATATACACTGCTATTGACATCACATAATCTGCTTTTATGGTAGCTAGTTTTCTTTTAAAGGTCTATATTTATGCTACTGGGTGACTTGTTTTAGTGTTACAAGAATGGTTGCTATTCTATGTTCATGCTCTGTCATGTATGATTTCTATACCCAACCATGGCTGCATCACTAAATACAAAATCTTCATTTTATGGTCAACATATTCCTAGCAGTTGATTTCGAATTTGCTGTGAAGATTAGTGGTTTTGGAATTATTCAACATGCTCACTTTCTACTATTTAGATGGTAAAAATGGTGAATAAGAGTGACTTTGATGCTTATAAGCCTCTTATTTCTTGTGACCTTGACCTGCCCTGATTATGTATTTGTTCTCTTAATGCATGATATCATGAGCAAGCAAAATTGTGTCTTGGGAGTAGTTTATTTGCTGATGAAGTGAGTGAAGATTGCTGGTTGCTGTACTGGATATCAGGTTGTTTGTTATGAGGGATTTTGCTGTCCTTTTGTCAAGTTTTTTGGCTTCTCTTCATGCTGAGGTTTTGTTTTGTCAAGGCAGAATTTCTCTGTTTTTCTTCATTGTAAGCCTGACTGGTTGCTGTTCTGGATATCAGGCTGTTTGTTATGAGGAATTTTGCTGCCTTTTCTATCTTGTAAAATGCTTTTTGAAATATTGAATAAAGTTGATTATGCAGTATGGCTTGCTGATCAGGCTGTTTTGAGTCACTGAAGAGAGAGAGATCTGATGTATCGATCGAAATGTCTGTTTGGTTTTTTTTTTTGAGGCTATTGTGCCTTGGTTACTTCTTGTAATTTCTCTGTTTTATAAATAAATAATTTTTTTTAAAAAAAGATTACTGGCGTTTATTTAAATGCCAGAAATTAGTTGCTCAAAAATAATAATTACTGGCGTTTAAATAAACGCCGCAAAATAGCTTTGGTAACCAGAATTTTACAGTGAAGTCGTCGGTTAAATAAGCGCCGCTTTAGCGTTTAGTAAACGATACTTTAATTTTTGTTGCGTTTAATTATACGCCGATAATTTTGCCGACAGAGGTTTCAACGGCATTAAGAACAAACGTCAATAATAATGTTTTGTGGTGTTTGTTTACATTTTAGCGACGTTTATTAAACGTTGGTAAAAGTTTTTTTTCTTTTCTTGTAGTGATCCATACTTTAAATTAATATCTGTCACTGTTTAGTTTGATATTTGTGTAGCTTAACATTTTAGAGATATTTTCGTTACCCAAAAGAAAAGAAAAAGTTCCTATACGTGTCATTAAGCTTTAAATTTTTTTGGCAAACATCTGACAACATTGAAATTAAAAATTAGCTTTTGCTAATTTATAAATCACCAAATCCTTTTAATTAATTTATGATTATTGATTTGTTTAGGAAATTCACTTAGCCGGTCAAGTCAGAAAAGACAATGCAAATCAGTTATAAGTTATATGAAAACATGGTTGTCGTGTAAATACAATAGACAACCCTAATCTGCTTATTTCATCTCAATGGAAATTGAAAAAGTATGACAAGATGTCGAGAATTATACATCCGCTTTTTCATGATCAATCAAAAGACCTTTGTGCTTTCCCCAACTTACGTCTTTCACTCAGTAATATGGGAACGCTATGCTATGATTATACATGTATGATTAGTCATTCAGGGAAGCTTTTTTTTTTTTTTTATAATTGAGGGCTGATCTTTGATTGTTTGTTTTAGGTCTATTAATACATTGTGTATATGCATTGAGATTATTATATTATATGCTTTAACGGATGCGTGATCACTGATGATGTGTTCTTGTGTATGTATTAAAACATTGCATCTTTTTTAAGTCAATTTTTTTGTCTTTTTCAGTTTTTGTGGTAGTGTGATTTGTTGGGTTAAGTGGACCATAATTGGCTTGATGGTAGAGTCATGGAAACGCATAAATTTATTTTCCACGCATCAATCAAGTCATAATCAAATTTTTCCCATACATAAATTTGTGATTGTTTTTACATTTGAATTGACACTTTTAAATTCCAATCTTCTGCGATCTATATTACGCTCTTATAAATTATTTCTCATCTTGCAAGTGCAAATTTGCATTCTTTCTATAGTTCTAGGTTTTTGGTTTGTTTTTCTCTTGTACTTGACCTTCATAGTGTAAAATTACTATCCAATCGTCCAACTTCTTTCTCTATCTTGCAAATACGAATATTTGAATCTACAAAAACACTAGCAATAAGGCCGAAATGGTAAAACTTTTAAATAGTCTGTCCCATATTATTTTTAGAATATTGGACGTGGTTCTATATTGTTTATTAATCATTAAGGTTATGAGTTTTAGAGAAATTATTCAACAAATTTAACGTATTTTTTAATATTTAAAATAAAAAGATCCACGTGCAACGCACATGTGCAATACCTAGTACAACTAAAAAACAATATAGTTAAAAAAAAAATTTGATTAACTGAATTAGCCTTAACAAAACAAATAATTACAATAATATCTCTTTAAGTTAATGACTTAATTAATTTTGTGTGGAGTGGAGTGGTGACAGTTACAAATCCTTTGGGTGGCTATTGGGCAGCTGTTACAAATTTTTAATAATAAAGACTTCATCTTTTTAATCTCATATACTCCATCCGTTCCTAAATATCTGTCGTTTAAAGTTTTTGCACAAAAATTAAGAAAACTATTAAATAGCTCTAATATGAGTAAAAAATAATTATACAAGATTAAAATACCCTTATTTAATACGTATTGAGAAGAAAAGGAATATGAAAGACACTTAGCATCTACCAAATCTAATGCATTGAAAATTTAAGGGTAAATTTGGAAGAAAAAATATTAATTATGCTTTGATTTTACTAAACGACAAATATTACAGAACAAAAAAAATTGTATAAAATCACATATATTTAGGAACGGAGATAGTACCATTCAACAATCCCAAAACCAAGAGCTTACTGTATGCTCCCTTTGGCTGCTGGTTTCTCAGCCATTTCGACCTGTATTCTGGCTTAACATCCGGAGGTGATTCTCGTTAAAAATGGTGTAATAGATTGTTGGACCAAAACAATTTTTTAAGTGTAATAATTGAAGTTTTGGTCGATTTTGAGCCTAAATTAAAATAGGACCCGATTGTTATTTTGAATAAAATTTCGTGGGTTCATATTCTACTCCGTGAGGAGAATAATGTGGTATATTCACTTGCTCAAATCAAGTAAGAAATAAATGAGAAAATAGGCTTTAAAGTGACCCTCTTGAAATATGAAAAATAAAGGAAGTGTAATGTGAGATGTGACACCAATCCCACATTGGTTGAGGAAGAAATTCAACATAGACATATATAGACCAAGTTTGCTCTATGGGATTGGACCCCAAGGGGTACCACAGTTTTATGAGCGGAGCGAACACCTATATGCCTTCGGTTCAACAACGTGTGCGTCGTCCGCCTCGCCACGACCATGACCCGTTGAATTTATAGACCCATTGTTGCATTTCATTCATTCTGGGTTGTGTCATTTAACAAAGTGATTATTCGAAAAGTCACCAATGGGTCTATAAACACTCAGATTCATTTCCATTAATTGCATTCAATTAATTAGTCCATTTAAGGCATTAAACAGTCTGCATTAACACAATATTGGTTCGCTGAACGACCAGATTGGAGTGTTATTTCTGTTCGTGTAAAGATTATTGTATCCATTCGCTGGACGATTAGATTGGAGTGCTACTTCTGTTCGTGTAAAGATTATTGTATCCATTCGCTGGACGATCAGATTGGAGTGCTACTTCTGTTCGTGTAAAGATCATTGTCTCATGAGAGGCAGACGCTCGATTTCCATAAGCACTGTGTGTGGGGCGAAATCTGTCTTAAGGACATAGTGTCAAACACTAGCCTTGATCTACCCAAAGTTCAATAACAGTTTCTGTTTTGTAACCGGATTAGTTTTATATTAGTTTGACAAAAAAGTTTATGTGTCACTCTTTACTGTAACTGTTTCGTTTTGAGTAACTATTTTACAGTTCATACTTACTGTTTTATGTTATTTTAAAGTACATAATATCAAAAAATTTAATAAATATTTTATTATATTTGACACACCACGAGCAACATAGATGACCCAATGTGGAGCTCATCAAGTTGATGGCAAGATGGGCACCTTCAGTGTTCTTGAGCACAAGAGTGGTTCTGCCATGATTATTCTTGTGAGTTAATTCAGATGTGCTACGTACGTCGCAAGTGCGTGGTTTTCAATTATGAGCATCGTACAAAGCCACGGGATATGCTATGCCACAGAAAGTTTTGCACTTGCCTTAATTCCATTAGAAATATATACCGGTGTGTATTCATGCCCTTACTCATCAACCACACCATCTACACTTATAAACCTTTCCAAGCATCAGTCTTTGTCAAGTTGATGAATGCTACTGTCCCCAAAAAAATCGGCATTAGCAAACTTTTTCCAACGATCATCTACTTGAAAATTTAATGTAATAAGATTATTCAGCCAATGTTGTTGAAAGCTTGAGTTAAAAAACCGAAGCTTCATAATTATCTTTGACTTTTGAGGTTAGTATCAATTACCGACGAAATCAACTGCTTTGTGGTGTCACATCGTCCTAGAAGTGCATGGACAATAGATTACTTTTGGCTAAAGGCTCCCTTTGGCATTAGACTCTCTTAATTTTAATCATCTCTAATGAATCAAAGTGGAATCTATTGTGAAAAAAAAAATTGTTTATATTAATATATGGATGGCAGTCTAGAATTTAAAATGAGGGACTTTAGTAATGAATAAAAATACTACACATTATTTTATCTCGAATGAGTACTTAAAACCATGTTTCTTCTTTCCATTCTAGAAAAATTGTTGTATCAACTTTGAGATTTTAGTTGTTTTTTTGGCATCTTATGTTGAAATTCCATAAAATTATGACAAAAACTTCCATCAAATGTTGAAGAAAGTTTTACTATGCTCCTTCTAAAATGATCATCATCGATTCCAACGTCTATTTAACTTTTAATTTCTTGATTGTTATGCGGTCATTCAATTTTATTGCTCTGAGTTACTTTAAAGTGATGCAAACTTTAGTTTACATAAAGATTTATTGCAATTGAATACTCTTTTTTTCTTTTTTGCCCCCTAAAAAATTCTCGGTGAATCATAATCTATTAGCATATTCAATATTCTATGTTGCATCAAATAATATCCATTCCAAAAATACCCATAACCAAACTCTCCCATGTTATATAGCACTAAATTTGTATGTGTTGTTTCCTTTTAGTATCGTCTCAAATTTGTCAATATTGGTAGATTGAAAAAAAATAAAATAAGGGTAACTACTGCAAATCAACAAATCTCTAGAATCCCACTTCTAATTAATGAAATATAATTAAAGTTAATAATATCTGTGTTCCAGGATCTCTTAATTGACTCAAAAAAAGCTGATAACAATAAAATAATTAATTGACTAATATGAATTTCTCTATGGATCGGGTAATTACGGAACTGTGTGAGATTTAGTGACCAACTTGCTCATTTCTTATTGAATAGTGATATCAAACGGTAACAGAGCCGGAAAAAAAAAGAAAGAAAACTGCAAAAGCTATGCAACCTAAATGACGACCACA